ATAGGGTTATGGCCTATACTATGATATCACCCTATTTGAGGGTCTTAGAAATTGAAACATTGATTATATACACTGTAGTTGTCATTGTATTTTTCAAATGCTTCAAAGTACTGACCTCCCCTTCACGGGGGAGGCCACCTCACAGTTTCAGGTATAAGTTGAGCTTGCTACCAGTACCCTTTGCTTCGGGAAGGATTCTAGGAGAGAAGACGTGGTTCGCGTTTCCTCCATTTCTGTTTTCAAACATTGATAATATTGCTCATGGATAATATTTTCTGATAAATTATTTGGGGGCTTGTATGCCTACGTTTGCCAAGTGTGGCTTGAACACTTGTAATATTCTTTCGATTGCTTTAATGAATATTTTACATCATGTTTGTTTATGAATGTACTATGTGTGAATGATATTCATGACGCCTAGTATAGTATGGATACGCTTGACTGTGGTTGACTATTCGTACTGTACGGTGGATTGTTGACGTGTCCGGATAGGTCCGAGGCACGACAATGTTTTACCATCTTGATCAAATAATTTAATACCCCGCTAGATGTTCCCCATAAATTAAAATTTAAGTCTTATATGAGATAATGACATCAACCATTATAATTAAATTAGTAGATATATTTTTCATTGAAGAATATTTCACCCAAGTGTTTATTCCATTCGACAAAATATAGAACTAATTTATAGGTAAATAAGTTTGTGATCATGTGATGGTTTTGACTTACTTAAGCTAACTCGAGTCGCCTAAGCATCAATGTAAATTTAAGGATGTCGATCAATTTAAAAATTGATCAATCAAAAGTTGTTTGGATGCAATTGGTCTATGGACATACCCATTATATTATTGCAGTGATCAGTCTAAGCTGGGACTGTAATATTATGAATGTGGATCTTGGTCACTATGATTGTGAGACCAATCCATGTTCTTTTTATTTGGGTCAAAGAACATGTAAAAATAGTGGGAGCTAAATAATTAAAAGTTTATATTATTTAGTTAACTGAATGTGATCATAGAAATTATTATATGGATTTTAATTCCCAGACTATTGAACTTCTCTAGGCTTTTGGGAACGTCAAATTTATCATTGAGAAATATCTTTGATACATGTAAGCTGACTGGACCAAACTTTCTGGATTGGGAAAGAAATGTGCATTTAGTACTTAGGTAGGAAAATATTGAGTATGTGTTAGACACATCGATATCCAAGATTCCTAATGTCAACTCTCCCGAGTTTGCAATGTTTGACGTGATTGCTTGAGAGACACACATTGCTGATGCTAAAACTATGCAGCATGTTATGTTGGCTGCAATGTCTATGGAGTTGCAAAGGCAATATAATAAGATGGGCGCCTTCAAGAGCTTAAACACTTGAAAAGTTTGTTTGATTCAGAAAGTCAGACTCTAGAGTATGAACTTTTGAACACGTCCTTAGAATGATTGGCTTAATCGAAATAGTTGTTACCACCGGAATTAAGTTTGAGGATCGTGTCTCAGCTGTCATCATTCTATATTCGCTTTCATGTTCATTTTCTAACATCATTGTGAATTATAATATGAACAAGACGAAATTGACCATGCTTGAACTCCATTACATGCTCAAGTCTTATGAAGTCTCAACATCTTAGAGAAAGATTGTTCTTGTGGTAAGGTCTAATGTTAGGTCTCGTTTTAAGAACAAGAATAAGCAAAAGAAGAAAGGTAAAGTTAGACCTACTCCCACAGCTTTGATCCTAAAGGTGGAGGTCATACAAAGACAAAGTTTGCAAAGGATGTTTCCCTCTATTGCAAAGAGAAGGGGCATTGGAAGAGAGGTTGCGAACTGTATAAGGTTAATCTAGCCAAAGCACCGGGTGCTTCAAGCTTATGTATTTTTATCGTTAAATAAATATGTTTATAACTAGCTCTCATTATTAAAGTATTAGATACAACTTGTGGCTTACACATTTGTAAAAATGTGCAGGAGCTCGAGAGGCAGTGGAGCAGTTTGACCGAGTAGAATTAACCTATGCGTGAAGGTTGGAACAAAAGTTGTAGTAGTTGAACGTGATGAGAAATTATAGTTTAAATTTACCGAGTGGTTTTAGATTAGAATTAAATAATTTTTATTTCATCCTTCTATTATCAAGAAGATTATTTCCATTCAGATTTTAGTTTTTAAAAGACTTCTATTTCCATTTTACTAATAACAATAATTGTTTTTTCCGTAAAATGGTGTTGTTGTGGAAATGCTTTCGTATGAATGGTTTATTATCAATAGACATGTTAGATGTTAAATGTATAAAACAAAAGATCTTGATTAAGTAATTAGAAAAGTTACCACTTAACTATAGCATTGCAGACTTGGTCAAATTAATGAAACAAGCTAAGAATAGCAAGATCAAATAAATTAGATTATTTAACACCATTTGATTTTGAATTATATGGAAAGTGTGAATCTTTTCTTTCAAGTAAAATGACTAATAAACCTTTTCTAGAAAAGGGACCGCAAGCCAAAGAAGTGCTCAAGTACAAAGTTTCTGATTTATTAAAAAGGTCAAAGAATTCAGTCACGCACAAAGAACTCATCCAAAAACACCTCAACGGTATGGTGTTTCTGCAAGGAGAAATAGGCTTTGTTAGACATGGTTAGATCTATGATGAATTAATTTCTTCTTCTAAACATTTCTTTGAAGGTACGAGCTACAAATCTCAATATATATTCTGAATAGATTAATTAGTGCAAAATGTACTATATGAGTTATGGTATAATAAAAGACATTATTTCACATATTAAGTGTAGGGTTTCCCTAAATATGTAATGAAATGCGCACTAATCAATTGAAAGCTAAAAGTGAGAGGTGTTATTTTATGAGATATCCTAAGAAAACTCAAGGATAATATTTCTATCTTCATGTGGAACATAAGACCATTATTTCCTGACATGTGAAGTTTCGACTTGGTTTTAAAGAAACAAATTCGTGAAAAGATAATACCTGAAGAAATTCAAGATCCACAAAATAACATAGATGATGAATACTTGTTAGATGGTATAAACAAAGAACCTATGGGAGAATTGTGTGGAAGAATATCTCTAGGAGAATGTCTTTCAGCTAGTGGGAGTAATATAGGAAGCAACTCGAGCGCACCAGCAACTGATTCCTATTAGGCAAGAAAGAGACGACATGATTGTAATTCCTTCAACACCTACCTCTCCTTCTCTAAGTGTAGCACTAGAAAACTCTCTGAACATTGGACCATTAAATGAAGGAGAACCTCTTTACAATCAGAACGAATAACTTGAACAAATGCAAAACACTCAATTATGTAGATCTACTGGGATTTGTCATAAACCAACTAGGTGTGGCTTTCTCATGGAAGATCATGATGATGTTGAGATTCCTGACAAAGATGAACCCAAGGATGAACCTAAGACCTACACTGAAGCAATATTAGATATTGATTCAGAGAGGTGGTGAGAAGCCATAGATTTTGAAATTGACTCAATGTATATCAATCAAGTATAAAACTTGGCTGACTTGCCTGTTGGGTTAGACCCATTAGATGCAATGATTTTTCAAGAAGAAATTGATGCTAAAAGCAAGGTACAAACATACAAATCTAGGCTAATGGCTAAAGGTTATAGCCAAAGAGAAGGAGTTGACTATAGTGATACCTATTCGCCAGTTGCAAAACTCAAGTCCATTTGGATGTTGCTTGTGATAACTGCATACTACGATTATGAGATTTGACAAATGGATGTCAAAACCCCTTTCCTTAATGAAAACCTCAAGGAGGAGGTGTAAATGATACAACCTAAAGGTTTTGTATCCAAGTCAAATTCTAAATCAGTATGTTATTTGGAGAAATCCATCTATAGGCTAAAACAAGCCTCTAGGAGTTGAAAATGAATTTCGATGAAATAGTCAAATTGTTTGACTTCATCAGAAGAAATGAGGGTGCTTGTGTGTTTATAGTGCGCATCAGGGATAATGTGGTCTTTATAATCTCATATATATATATATATATATATATATATATATATATATGTTGATCATAGAGAATGATATCCCTTCATTGAAGGAATGATTATCCAAAAAAGTTATAAAAACCCAAATCTCATTGAAGTCTGTGAAGGAATGGTTATCCAAAAAAGTAATAAAAACCCAAATCCAAATATTTCCGATCATGATAGTTCGTTGAATTGTCGTTTTTATCTCAAGTTTTCATATCCAAAATAGTATTTTGATTTACAATCTGAAATAGTAAATGAATTAACAATAAATAAAAATTGAAAAATAAAGAAACAAGGATCTGGAAGAAGAAGATGATACGAAGAGGAGGAAGAAGATCGAAGAAGATGAAGAGAAGAAACAAAGAGGAGGAAAGGAGAAGGAAGAAGAAGGGAAAGAGGAAGAAGAGGTTACCTAGTGCACTGCTATGGATTCTCTACGAGACCAGATGTATGCGGCAATGTAATTGCCGATGCTCGTCTTCCGGTTAAGTATTAAGATCGATAACCGTTAAGGGTATTTTTGTCCAGTTTAATTTAAAGTCATAATTTTGCATTTTAAACATAGAAGTCCTGAGTCCCATTCTTGTCCAGCCGGTCTGATGGGATGCTCCGTCCGGCCGAGGGCATTTCGGGCACTTCTCGGTGTAATTTTTTGATGAAATTTTTTGAGCATGTTCTTCATGAAGTCTAGTTTATACATACCAAATTTCAGCTAAAAATTCAATCGGTTAGGCACTCAAATAATTTCGTGAAGTTAACTGGGCAGTTTATATGTATGAACTGCCCAGTTAACTTCAAGAAATTATTTGAGTGCATTCCCGATTGAATTTTTAGCTGAAATTTGGTATGGATAAACTAGACTTCATTAAGAACATGCTAAAAAAATTGCATCAAAAAATTCCACCGGTAAGTGTCCGAAATGTCCTCGGCCGGACGGTGGTTCCCGTCAGGCCGGTTGGACATAAGTTTTCTCTAGAAGTCCTTGCATTTGTTCCATATATTAGTCAGAATTCTCTCTTGAGTAATTATCAGTCATCTCTTCCTCCTGCTCACATCCTAGCTGCACTCACCTATGGCGAATCCAAAATCAGCCTCTAAACCTAAACCTGAACAGGAATCCAAATCCCACTCCCGAACTGTTCTCAAGTTTCTTGCTGAGTTCAACCTTTCAGATTACAGTTCCTCTTCAATTCTATCGCTTGCAATCTCCACGCTTCCCGATTCCCAAAGCTTAATCTATCTTGGCACAACTTCGGGTTCTGTACATTCGCTATCTGTAAACCCTAATTCTCCCACCAGCTACTCGAATCTGACATATAACCGCCAAATTACTGTTGGTAGCAGCCTTGTAAATTCAATACACGTCATTGAGGACAGCGGGAAAATGATTGTCCTCTCGGATGGATTGCTTTACTTGGTTGATTTGCTCATGCTTGAACCAGTTAAGAAACTCACTATGATCAAGGGAGTTACTGCTCTATCTCGGAGATTCCAAAGTAGGAGCACTCAGGCTACTAGCGACCCCGTTGGACAGCGTTCCAATGGGATGAAATTGAAAGAAGACGGATGCTTCTTTGCGGTAGCTGTTGGGAAGAGATTAATTATAGTTGAGTTAGTTATGAGTGGTTCTTTAGTGATCTTGAAGGAAATTCAGGGGGTTCATGAGGGAATTATAGGTTTAGCTTGGGTGGATGATTCAATATTTTATGGCACGAAAAATGGTTATTATTTATACTCGTGTTCAAGTGGTCAGGGCGGGTTGTTATTTTCATTGCCTGATTCGTCTGGGCCACCCCTTATGAAAGTGCTGCGTAATGAATGCAAAGTTTTGCTAATGATGGATAATGTAAGCGTTATTGTGGATGCTGAAGGTCAGCCTGTTGGTGGAAGCTTAGTGTTTCATGGAGCTCCAGATTCAGTAGGAGAGATAGGGTCTTATGTGCAGGTGATTAGAAGTGGGAAGGTGGAACTTTATCACAAAAAGTCTGGGAACTGTGTGCAACGAGTTCCATTTGAGGGTGAAGTGGGTACTCATGGTATTGTGGCTGATGAAGGGAATGTCAAAGGAAAACATTTTGCTCTGGCAACAGGCACCAAGGTAATTCCCTTGCTTTTGGAGTACACTTCAGTTATGAAAATATTTTAAAATGTTGGATAAAATTTATGCATTTTAAGGTCTCTGATATAGAAGTGGTAATGAAATATTCCCTTGATTCCAAGACATAATATGGACAATGCCATAGAAATATCAAAGAATAGGAGAACATTTTGAGGAATAATGGGAAGTATCACAAAAGTATAAGTAATGTCATTATGTTTCCCCAAATATGCATTCAGACTCTACTTCTTTCTTTCGAAAAAATTCCAATACCAATATAAAAAAATCCATCAACTTTTCCACAACACAAAATATCTATATTTTCATAAATACCTGTATTTTTATCCATCTCAGATAGTTGATTTGTTTAAGGTTTAGTTGATAGATTCTACACAAAGAGAATAATGTAACTAGGCACAAAACACCAACATTATTACATTATTTGCAAATCATAGCGAGTATAAGACAAAAGTATATGTGAATGTGCTGCAATGCTAGGTCATATGTTACCAGAAGGTATCATACGAAGATCAAATTAAGGACCTGTTGCGCAAGAAAAATATTAGTGAGGCTGTATCTTTGATGGAAGAGCTCTGGTCTGAAGGTGAAATTACAAAGGATATGCTATCCTTTGTCCATGCTCAAGTGGGATTCCTTCTGCTGTTTGACTTGCACTTTGCAGAAGCAGTTGATCACTTCTTGCTTTCAGATACTATGCAACCATCTGAAATCTTTCCATTTATCATTCGAGGCCCAAATCGATGGTCACTGCTGGTATGTGCTACTTTCCTATGATGGTCACTAAAGAGTTGCACACATCTGCATGTTAATATTGTATATTTGTAAGAATGGGGTAGTAATAGGCCAGAGAAATCAGATGACAAAGAGGAGATAATATTAGTAAGTAGGGAAGCCGAACTACTAGTAAGAATGATATCATCCACATAAAGTAGTAAAACATTAATGTCATTACTAGTATGATAAATAAACATAGATGGGTCCGTGGAGCTGCGGACAAAGCCTAGAGATAGTAGATGACTACTGAATCTATGAAACCCCATACTAGGAGATTGTTTGAGACCATATAAGGAACAACGAAGAAGATAAAGATGATTATGTTATTCAGAATTGGTGAAGCTAGGTGAAGCTAGGTGACTGTTTAATGTAAACTTCTTACGTTAATTTGCCTGGAAGAAACAAATTTCTAACATCAAGATGACGTTTGGAGAGGTAAAGGATCTTGTGCGCTGTTCATAGTTTCGTTGCGGGGAGAACCTAAAACGGGAGGAGACATAGGACTAAGAGGGACTGATAGGGATCTCCAGCAATCCAGACAATTAACAGAGAAATTAACAAGAGACAGATGAATTTTTATTGATGAAGGAGAACAATTACAGAAATAGAAGAGAGAGTATGGCCGAAGCCCCCAATGAGCCGAAGCCCCCCACAAGAAAGAGAAAGTTCTCGATCTTCCCAAAGTCCCAAAGTCAAAGTCTAAAACCGCCTGCCCCTCACTTCCCTTGCTATCTACTTATTTATACTAGACTCAAAACACTTCTTATTATTAATACTTCTAATAAGCCCGGTCCGTTACTATTATTATTAGTCTACTATTAGGCCCAGGTTCCTATTAATACTCCCCCCTAAACATCCACCTTGCCCTCAAGGTGGGTGATAGGACACAGCCACAATCTTCATCTTTTCTTTCATCCTAGCACCTCTTCCTTTCCAATACTGGCTGGATTTCTGGATACTTAGCTGGGCTGCTTCCATCTTCTTCCCTATGCGTTTGATAGCAGATTTACACAAACGCCAGGACCTTCTATCCAGAATTGACTTGAAAACTTCAGGGAACTCCTTTATAAACTCATTTCTTCTGCCTTCAATTAACTGTTCTTGCTTTAACTCATTACTTTGTCCCTCCCCGTGCCACAGATGTCCATCTCCTTGAATTATATGATTCAGCCCTTGCTTCTTCCATTTTATGATCAGTTTTTGGAAATTAACTTCCATATCACCTAAATCAGTTAACCATTCCATGCCCAGGACTACATCAATGCCTCCCAATTCCATTAAGTAATATGTTTGCTGAATCTCCACCCCTTGTACGTTCAGGCCCACTCCTGCACACTTGCCATAGTTGGTTATGCAATCTCCATTTCCAGTTTGTACTTTGTATTCCTGAATTGGAGTGTAAGGGATCTTCCATCTTTCCACCAAGTCTTGTGAGATAAAATTGTGAGATGCACCACTATCCATAAGTACATTCACTGTTAGTTCTCCATCAGGCCACCTCATTCCTCCTTTTACCATAAATGTTTTCTTAAATGGTATGCCCTCCTCACCTAATACTGAAAACTGCATGGTCTTTAATTCTAGAGGTATGGTGTTATCTTTTCCAGACTCCAGTAATTCAACTTCAGAACCAGCTTCATCCTCAGATTCCTCCACTAGGATCATTTTATAGTTCCTCATCTTGCAAACATGTCTCCTACCCCAGTTTTCACCGCATTTAAAACAGAGTCCCTTCTTGCTTCTATCTAATAATTCTTCTTGGGATAATCTGGAGCCATTCCTTATCATGTTCTGCTCTTGCACATCAGAATTTATCTTGTTATCAACTGTAGCCTTGTCCAAACTAATAGAGTTAACAGGTTGATTCTTCCATTTATTTTCATCCTCCCAATTATGATGCTGACTATTACCATGCCATTTCTTCTTCCTTTCATCTTTGTTCTTCATGATACAAACTTCAGTGTTCTTGTTCTCAATTAAAGAAGCCACATCCATAACTTCAGCCAAAGTTCTTGTAGAGTATAGCTTCAACTCAGCTCTTACATCACGCTTAAGGCCCTTAAGAAACGCTCCTTTCAAAACCTCTTCAGTTAAATGTCCCTGTGTCGCAATTGCAGTCTCAAATTTGTCTCGATATTCCTCTATGGTGTTTTTCTGCTTCAAACTGAATAAAGGCCCCAGGGGATCCTTGACCATGTCTGGCTGGAAGCGTCTGGTCAAAGCTTGAGTAAAAGAGTTCCAGTTTTGATGCGTAGCCTGCCTCTCCCACCACTGAAACCAGCTGAGAGCTTGGTCTTCCATTGCGAGCACCGCTACATCAATTTTTTCCTCTTCTTCCGTGTTATTCAATCGGAAGTAGCGATTTATCCTCATCAACCAACCGCTAGCATCGCTTCCATTGAAGATAGGCAAATCGATCTTTCTACCAACTGGAAGTGGACGCCTGTAGTGGCGATTTCGATCGCGATGACTCTGCGATACCGAATATTCAGATTTATTGTCTGAATCTTCTGAAGAATCATTGTTCTTCGTATATCGATGCTGAACAGTGTGGTGCGAAGACGTCGAACGATGCGATCTACTCCTCGAGCGATCTGGTTTTTGATTTTTTAACTCGGCAAATCCAGCTTGCATCATCGCCATCAGTTCTTCGTACTTCGTATCAATCTTCGTACCTAATTCCTGCTGACCTCGCGCGACCTTCTGCTCGATCTCCGTCATTCTCCCTTCCATTTTCCTCCTCGTGCCAACCATCCAAAGCTACAACCAGGGCTCTGATACCAATTGATAGGGATCTCCAGCAATCCAGACAATTAACAGAGAAATTAACAAGAGACAGATGAATTTTTATTGATGAAGGAGAACAATTACAGAAATAGAAGAGAGAGTATGGCCGAAGCCCCCAATGAGCCGAAGCCCCCCACAAGAAAGAGAAAGTTCTCGATCTTCCCAAAGTCCCAAAGTCAAAGTCTAAAACCGCCTGCCTCACTTCCCTTGCTATCTACTTATTTATACTAGACTCAAAACACTTCTTATTATTAATACTTCTAATAAGCCCGGTCCGTTACTATTATTATTAGTCTACTATTAGGCCCAGGTTCCTATTAGGGACATAGGGTTCTGGATTTGGTTGGACAGAGGATTCCAGTGGACTGGGCAACAAAGACCGAGCGGGACTGGGTAGGACTGAGGACTCCTGTGAGCTGATTAAAGGATATTGAGTGGGTTTAGGCTGGACAGGAGAATGTTCGGGTCTGAGATCTGTAGAAGAATGAAGGGGAGCTGGCTGGGAAATGTAGGGAGGTGCATGGTTAGTATCCTGTGAGAGGATTGGAAAGTTGGAAAGGTTATGAGAACTAGAGGGAGGAGTACGGGTTGGGTTGCGCGAAGAGAGAAGACGAGAATAAGGAAAATCATGTGCTACAGATATACATATACAAAATCTTGGCCTATTACTACCCATATACTAGATATTATTGCTACACATATACATTATTACTACAAATATGTCTTATTGCACGTTCCCATATTTTCATGAAAATCATGCTTATCTTGGGGATAATTAATCATCATAATCACTATCACATGATTCACATCCACTATGGGCAGCTTTATCTCAATTAGGGGTTGATTTCATTGTCATAGTGGGTCAATTAATTAAGTTAACACTATAAGTTCAAATGTTCAAGAAAAGAACACATTGTGATAAAACATAAAAATAAAAATCAACGAAATAAACCGTTGCCCAGAATAATCAACGATAGAAACTGTTGCCCAAAGCCAAAAGGCAACTCCAATTTTATTCACAGATAAGCAAGAATGAACCGTAACAAGGGGTATAAAATATAAATAGCCTTCTAGTAAGAGACTCAACAGAAACTCTAATTGAGCCCAAATTAATTAAACCCTAATTAAGCCCAATTTAACTTTACTAAATACTCTACTAATAATAGGCCCAAACTAGAAAACATAAACTTTATAATAATAAATAAAACTATAATCCCAGCCCACAACCAGCCCACGGAGGTAGGCCCAATCCCGTTCCCCCTGCTCTCCCTGCTCTCTATCAATCCATCCTCCTTCAAAGTAACCTTGTCCTTAAGGTTGAAATCTCGTAGTTCGAGGGCTGAAAACTCCAGCAATAGAATAGACTGGAAAATATTCTGGTCAGTTATTTCGCAATTGTTTGTCATGTTGTTGGAGGTCCAACTCCTCATCCTTCTCAGCTATCATTACCCGTAACTGTTTAAAGGGGCGGTCATGCCCTGGAGTAAATTGTTTCATACACCTAAAACATAATCCTTTTGCCAGCAATTCTTACAACTCCTTTGGCGGAAGTCAAGTGAACCTAGAGCGTGCAGTAAACTGCCCGGACAGCACTGAATTTTCCAGGGGGCTGCTCAATGTCTTTAGGGAAGCTGCAACTCGATCCCCTTAAGCTGCCACCACTTATGGCCGTGCTGTTACCGCCACTCGGGCGCGAAAAACTGCCCAAACACAAGTCTGTGTTGTAGGGTTGGCTTTCCCGACCTCCATCTTGAAAGGACGTGTTGTCCTCAATATCTCTGGCCAATTTTATTGCTATTTCCAGGCTGTTTGGCCGCAGCAACCGTAAGGATCCCCCGATTGGTCCCTTCAGCCCGTTCATGAAATACCCCAAGTAATGATCATGGGACATTCCCGGGACTTGGCTGGCCAATTGAACATGTATTGTATTCTTCCACTGTTCCAATCTGTTTGATGCCGTGCAGCCATTCAAACCTGTTCCCCTTAAATCGGGAGTCAAATCTGGCTACCAATGCTTGCGTGAAATTTTCGCAGGTCATGCCAGGTTTGCGCGCTCTCAGCCAGGTTACCCAATAAAGGGCACCCCCTTCCATGGCAACCACGGCGGCTGCCACTTTCTTCTCTGGTGGGGTCCCGTTCAAATCAAAATGATGTTCAACCCCAACTAGTACCCACCCACCCAATCGGGTCTTCTCTGTTGAACGCTGGGAGCAAGGATCGGCGTTAGAGGTAGCGGCCGACGAGTTGTCCACCATCCCCGGCGGTACGAGGGCCTTGGTAAGTACCGCCAGTGATGCGGCGATCTCGGCCATTTGCACATCATGTTCTTCCAGTGTCTAGTTAATCCGGGATTTCTTGGCCCCTATCCGGGTTTGCTCGGCCGCCATCCGGGTTTGCTCAGCCTCCATCTCTGTCAAGCGGTCGTTTTGAGATCTTGTAATTCCAGCGGGACGGGATCCGGCAGGTCAGACCGATTGATAAAAACATAAAAATAAAAATCGACGGAATAAACCCTTTCTCAGAATAATCAACGATAGAAACCTTTGCCCAAAGCCAAAAGGCTAAACTCCAATTTTATTCATAGATAAGCAAGAATGAATTCTAACAAGAGGTATAAATAGCCTTCTAGTAAGACTCAACAGAAACCCTAATCGAGCCCAAATTAATTAAGCCCTAGTTAAGCTCAAATTAATTCTGCTATATACTCCACTAATAATAGGCCGAAACTAGAAAACATAACATAAACTTTATAATAATCAATAAAACTAAAATCCCAGCCCACAACCAGCCCACGGAGGTGGGCCCAATCCCGTCCCCCCTGCAACCTATCCTATGAAGAATAATGAGTTAAATTCAAAATTGTTATCATTGTTATCCAATTGAAATATCCCGAGACACGATGCGTCGGTAATTGTTTCATTCACATTCCATTACATTAATGGTATTGTATAATAAACCTGCACATCATGGATCATAGCCGCATGCGTATTATGGAGATGGCGGCTACTTTTATATGCTTATAATTCATTACTATGACAAGTGGATGGATATGTTAAAGTAAAGTTTCTTCTTTGATGAGCCAACTTGTTCAGCATTCACTACTAATCTAAATATGAGTGTAGTTGAAACTACACCCAACCGTGAAACTGGTTGTAACTCCCCGGCCCCGCAGGATCCGAGGTAGTTACTCTAGACGTCACTTTGTCCTCACTCATGCGCACCCTGAGAAACTTCCCAGGGGGTCACCCATCTCAAGACTACTCTCGTGCAAACACGCTTAACATTAGAGTTCTTGGGTGATGAGCTCCCTTAAAAGGAGATGCACCTCTGTCGGTATGATTAGTACACTAGTACTATTAATCCTCTTAAATTAATCTCGGGTATTACAATCACCCTCACTTAGGATCGCAACGTCCTCGTTGCGCTCTTAAACCAATCTCAATCACACCCCAGAATCTTTTCCCCTGCTAAGTGCCCGCCCGATATCCAACGGATCAACACACTGTCACAGGGTTGCTCTGATACCACCTGTAACACCCCGGCCCCGCAGGACCCGAGGTAGTTACTCTAGACGTCTAGTACTGTTCTCACAAACCACCACGAGCCTTTACCGCGCACTTTGTCCTCACTCATGCGTGCCCTGAGAAACTTCCTAGGAGGTCACCCATCCCAAGACTACTCTCGTGCAAGCACGCTTAACATTAGAGTTCTTGGGTGATGAGCTCCCTTAAAAGAAGATGCACCTCTGTTGGTATGAGTAGTACTATTAATCCTCTTAAATTAATCTCGGGTATTACACTGGTGCTTATCCAAAATATATAAATTTGAGAAAGAAAGGAGTGCTAATTTTTGCTAAATGATCTTCTAAGGTATGAATGCTCATCTGCAGACAACATTGGTTAGAAAGTTAGCAAGCATGCTGTAAATGAAATAAGACCTTATGTTAGCATTTGACATATGTGATTGTTATTCAGGTCAAGTAAAATAAAAGACACACAGACAAGTTTAGTGTTAATACTACTTCACAACCTTGTCGATCTTGTCTATGTATCATGCTTACCAGCAACAGTCCTTATCTCTAATAAAGTTATAACCTAGTGGTCCTAATTATATCCTTGCATGAACTTTGTATGTTTTGCTTTTTTCTTGAAAGTATATTTGTTTTGTTAATCTGTATTATTTTCCTTTTAATTGTTAAATGTTAAATGTAATTATTGTCCAGATTCCAAGGAACAGATATTGGGGTTTGCATCCCCCTCCTGCTCCCCTTGAAAAGGTTGTTGATGATGGATTAATGGCTCTTCAAAGAGCTATTTTTCTCAAGAAGGCTGGTGTTGAGAGTGCTGTGGATGAAAAGTTTCTCTTTAACCCTCCAAGTAGAGATGATTTGCTAGAGAATGCAATGAAAAACATGATCAGGTTGTCCGTCATTGCCTAAAATATTGTTTATCGTTATAATAAGTTAATAATGAAAATACTTAAGTCTACTATATGCATACAGCTGTATAAAAGTTAGAAAAATGGAAATTAGATTTTTTTTCATCTTTCCAAATGGAAAAGAAAACCTACTGAATAAGAATATTATACACTCTTAGCAACCATCATATGCAAATGGGGATTCCTTAAAATGAAAATGATCAGAATATAAAAGAAAGAACACGAGAAGACAAAACAAGATAGATTAGTTTAGAGGAAAATGAGAAATCATCAATGAAGTTACAAATGTACTAGATCTACATATGGATATCCGGATGTATGATATATGTTGTAGAAGTCGATTTTTATGTTTCTTCACCAAAGAATTTATGTTTCTATTTTGTTGTGGAATTTAAAACAGTTTCTTTTTCTATCTAATTAGCAGAATAAAAAATCATTAAAAGAAAATTGATTTTGCAAACGAATTGTATGGTGATATAGAATGTCGACGTGTTTGTTCCACATTGGCTAAATATGAAATAAGAAGCCAACATATAAGACATTGAGCTACTCTTCCTATCAAGATGTGTTTTGTGATGAAACCTTGAGTCTTGGTATATTTTGTTTCTGAATGCAAAGAAGTTACTTCTTAAGTGATCCATTCTTTCTAGATTGAACTTGTAGGATAAAATCACATGTCTGAATATAAATGTTATCTGTATGAAGAACTACCCATTACAGTTTTGTGAATTTCCGCCAATTGGAGCTTCTTGAAAAAGATGAGTTTTTTTTTTCTTATTTGGCCATGTTGTAGTTTTTCTATATAGCTTAGCTGGACCAATCAACCACAATAATAACAAAAAATTTAATTTTCTTATAGCTTATATAGTTGAACATTAAAATTTGTGGCATTGTGGCCATTATTATTTATTACTTTACCATAGGAAAATGTTCTAATGGCAACAGAATATAGTAAAGTTCTACAAACATTTATGAATTTAAGCATTCATTAATATGAATTCAGCTGTATCTAGGAAGAAGTTTGAAGAAATGATTCCCTAGATACACAAGCTTCCGTTTTTTACAATTAAATCGAACCTCCACAAAACAAATTTAAAAAAGACCTAGAGTGAGGGATTTCTAAATAGGTAGTGTTGCACCAATGCCCAACCAAAAGGCTAAGGAAGTTCTTCCATTAAACCTAGATCAATGAACCTGCAAAATCCTTCAAATTGTATCTGATTCAATCCAGGGATTATAGTCACCCCGTGCCCCCCCCCATTTTTTTGCATATACAAACATTTTTTAATTCCTTTTTATTTTCTTCATTTTATAAAAAAACGATTCCCTTCTTGAGTGCTGAATTGGATCGACTTGTTTGGGTTTTTTCCTGATTTATGTTGGACTTTTATGTTTCAGATATTTGGAAGTTTCACGCTTTAAAGATTTAGTTCTGCCAGTAAAAGAGGGAATTGACACGCTTTTGATGCAGCTCTTTAGAGCCCTCAATTATGCTGATGACATGGAAAAACTTGCATCATCTGATAACAACTGTGTAGTGGTAAACATATGAACTCATAAATGATTTATACTCCCCCAGTCCATTAATAAACTTCACCTCCACTTCAGCATATTTAAGGTAGTGAAGATGGTGCGGTTGAGATTTGTTTGGAAAAGAAAGTAAAATTTCACTACATACCCTTTTCTTGAGAGCACAATTGCTGCTATATTTTTCTTCCTATCAGAGATTTAGAGTTTCGACATTTTTAAAGGAGTAAACTTACCAAATACACAAATGAAAGACTTGAGGTTAATCTTTTCTTTAGATAGCTAAAAAGTTTTGCAAAGGCGATGAACCCCGTGGACAAATAAATTAAATCTTTGTTCTTGATGTAAAATATCATTTGATTCATGGAAGTTGAAACTAAAGTCCGGATAAACAATTTAAATCTGAATCTAGTTTTGGCCTCTTGATTTATTTATTGAGTCAAATGATAACATTAGTATTAGTTTATGAAAGCATGTTCTTGCAACTCCATTTTATATTCCACATATATGAACGCAAAATTGCGACAATTATTCACATTTAATGTGAATAAACGTGGATTTACAGACCTGCTTAATGGGTGATTGGAACTTAAATGGACAGTGCAGGAGGAGTTGGAGACATTATTGAGTGAATCTAGGCATTTAAGGACACTTGCTTTTTTGTATTCCAGTAAGGGATTGAGCTCTAAAGCACTTGCTATCTGGCGTATATTGGCTAGAAATTCAAGCAACGCGAAAAACCTGGTTGGGGAAAATGTCAACTCCAAGCGTGTTTACTCCGATCAAGAGACTGCCGTTGTCGAGGCCTCAAAGATTCTAGAGGAGTCTTCTGATCAAGATTTGGTATTGCAGCATCTTGGATGGGTATGCACTTGTTTTCAATTAGTAGGATGGATTTAATGGGTTTCTTCTCAATAAATATGCGCATGTGGGGGTTTTGTTATATATTGCTTTCATTTATCCATATTATGAGTATCGCTTCCTATTCTTATTGTTCTTATTATTTGATATTTGACTTAGATTTCAGATATCAACCAAGTTTTGGCAGTTCAAGTCCTCATATCAGAAAAAAGAAAGAGTCTGTTGTCACCGGGTAGGTGTTGAGTGATTTTTTGGCAGTCACCAGGTAGGTCTATTGATGGGCTGTAACAATTACTCCCTCCGTCCCGTTGGAATGTTCCCGGTTTGACCTACACACATATTAAGGAAATAAACTTACCAGGGGGTAAATTTTACTGTTTTGACACTGTTTGGCACTGTTTGACACTGTTTTGATGTAGGATAACTTTCCATTTAGGGAAATGGGAACTTCTTTTTGGGACATCCAAAAAAGGAAAGCGGGGAACATTCCAACGGGACGGAGGGAGTATGACATACGGAGTATTGATCAAGAAAAAACATCTTTTTAAAATCCAAAGTATATGGGAATGTGAAATAAAGCATCTTGCAAGCTGTAAAACTGTGTAAAGTGCATCCATGTCATGTTCATTTTTTATTTAACTGACATGTCGTGCTACGTAAGTCTCTATCTTGGATGCTTAGAAATCTAAAACGCCGTTGTGAGTTGACCTTTATGAACGTGTAAGCGTGCACATGACCAGAATCTCAGTCACATAATTCGTAGCAGAAATGTTATTCAAATTCTAAGTTCAAAGGTTGAATTTGAAATAGTACTATAGTGGTTAGATAAGTGATACATTTACTTCAATTCTTCAATTACAGATGAAGTGGTGGCTGCAATTGATCCAAAGAAAGTGGATATTCTACTTAGGTATGGCATCCATCTGAACGTTTAACTTGCTGCAAGTGTTGAATTTATACATCCCTCACCATTGCTTTTTCGAAATTGTGTGCATGGCGTGTCCAAGACCTCTTCAAAGCTTTCATTTGCTTATGTTGTTTAAAGAACCATTCTCTATGATAGTCTAAATAGTGACCTGGTCTTCATTCTTGAATTAAGATGTGCTTGACAATTGAGATTTGCACTGCAATTCATAATTTTGAGTTTCCTTAGATCATGACTTCTAGTTTTGTGCTGTTATCTTTAATCTTATTGCTGATGCATGAATGATTGGCAGTTTGTATTATCTCCCCCCCATATAAACACTGTCACACTTCACTGCATGCAATTGATATACATTTGCAAATTTGACAGGAAATTTTGTAACAACAATAGGAGGAAAATGACTTTATCCCTTAATTTTATCCTTTTATATGGTATATGATCAGAGTGACACAACTAACCGAGTAGTCTAAGTATACCTTGTCTGGAGAACATACCTCTCAAGTGATAGGGGGGAGGCTGGGGGTGACTGTTCCTCCTCTTTAGTCAAATTACAATAAAAGAGTTTGACCCCTCTGTGCAGATATCTTCAGTGGTTAATTGAAGACAAGGCATTAGATGACACTCAGTTTCACACAACATATGCTTTCTTGCTTGCTAAGTCTGCTCTTGATGCTTGTGAAGTGGAACATGTTTCAAAAAACACCGTGGACAATTCAATTTTTGAGACTCATGTCAGAGAGAGGTTGCAAATCTTTTTACAGTCGTCTGACTTTTATGATCCAGAAGAGGTCCTTGACTTGATTGAAGGATCTGAGTTATGGATGGAGAAGGTACAGTGCTATTTGTGTTAGACTTGTTCTGCTATGGTGACAAAATAGCCTTAGGCTATTGTACTTATTGTTGATTATTGGTTTCTGACAGGCTATTCTTTACCGGAAGCTCGGTCAGGAAACATTAGTGCTACAAATTTTGGCATTGTATGTGGCAATAATTCATTTTTTGTACTCTTTGATGTTTTCTTTTTATTGTCATTGACCTAGATTTGTTGCTGTTCTGGAGAGGGAACATAAGCAGTTATTATTTGTATAATATGATGTTTATTTTAAATATTGTTGCCTGATAGAAAGCTAGAAGACTGTGAAGCTGCAGAACAGTATTGTGCAGAGATTGGTAGACCAGATGCATATATGCAGTGAGTACATCCCAGTTCCTACCACATTTTCTCAGTGTTCTTTGTTCAAAGTATCTGTTTATTTTTCATTGTTAGGTTGCTCGATATGTACTTAGAACCCATGAATGGGAAAGGGCCCATGTTTGCAGCTGCTCTCCGCCTTCTACATAACCATGGAGAAATTCTGGATCCATTACAAGTCTTGGAGGTACATATTCTTACTTCTTGAGGAGTTTTTGCTTGTTTTGATAGTCTTCAAAGCTTGGTCCTAGACTACAAGACACACCACTTTTCATCTTAGTTCTATGTAACAGTACCTTCATTGGTCCTTAATGTTTTTGCAAGCTTTTAATATTACCTGTTGAGGCTAATCAGAAACGAACATCTTCCTTGATTCACAAACCTTGACCTTCCATTTTTGTGGTGGAACATTTGAAAATGTCCTTATTAAGCCTAGATGATGCATTGAACACTGCACCACAAGCCTGTTTTCCTCTACCTGCAGAATATCTTCCTTGTTAGTGATATCCATTGTAAAATTTCAAAAAAAGAATTACAGAAAAACGTTAGTGGAACAAGTAAATGTGTGCAGGCATATTCCAATCCCAAATATCGATGTTCATTACTGACTTTTTGAGGCTCTAAACTTCTGATCACATTGTTATAGGACGAAGTTAGATTGTAACAAGCATTTTTAATTTTTAAACAAACTTGTAAATTATAGTTCACACATTTGCCTCATTATATGATTTCCTTATTTTATTTTGTATTCCTTTGATCCTTCTTCCATAGTTCCTTTGCTATCCTGCTAGTTTAGAACTGATTATAGCTCTATATTATAAAATGTGGATGAACATCCTTGGTTAGTTTCCTTGGGAACAAGTGGTGGGTGAAGGGAAGGCCCATCCGTTAGGGCTTTCCTCACGCTTTTCTTTTCATTGGACTTGTAAAATATTTCATGCTTATCAATAAAAATGGTGAGCGTTCCCCGACGCTCACCCTGTCTTTAAAGACGGCATTTCGGGCTAAAAAAACTGATAATTGCTTCTGATCTGTGATGGTAGTCTGCTAAGCTGTCAATGATGAAAAATTGAAAATAAATGGCGTTTTCTGAAATAAAGGATATTCGTATACAAAAAAAGGGAAGGCGTTCAGTACATAATTTTATTCACAACTTCTGACATCAGATATCAAAAGGAGTACTCATGATCCTCCGGATGTGATTCATTTTGCAGAGGTTGTCACCTGATATGCCCCTTCAACTTGCCTCAGAGACAATATTAAGAATGTTAAGAGCCCGTCTACACCACCATCATCAAGGCCAAGTATGTTTTAAGGAGCAGTAATTAAACATTTAAACATCTGTAGATGGTTATCGTCCAAGTAAATGCTTGTATCCATTTTCTTTCAAATTTTCAGTGCGAAATTTTATATATATATATTTAAAGTACATTTTTTTTTATTTTCATATTATTTAGGGAAAGTTCCCGAAATAGGACTAAAACAGTTTGAAAATTCCAAAATAGGACTGTCATATTTTTTATTCCCAAAATAGGAGTAATTACTGTCAAGTTTGGAAAATACTGCCATGTTTGAAGTCTGGTACTGCCAAAACATGACAGTAATTAGTCCTATTTTGGGAATAAAAACATGAGAGTCCTATTTTGGAATTTTCAAACATTTTTAGTCCTATTTCGGGTAATATCTCTATTATTTACACACAATATTTTTCGTTAAAAGGCAGGGCTGAGGGGTTCTGTGGAATATAAAATGCCTGAGAAACTGAGTTGGGGTTGAAACTTTTTTTAAGTTGAATTAAATAAGGAGGCTGCTAAATTGCTAATGGCCTTTAGAAGAATAGAACCCCCAGCAACCCCTCAATGAATTCATTGATACTATCCCCCAAAAGAATCTGGAGTACAATATATATGAATGGGTATTTGTAACAACTTTTGGCCTATTTCTAGTTTTACGGTTTTGGAAGTCCTGTTTGTGTGTGTTCTTAGAACCTTCATATATAACAAAATGGGAACAGAGACGAGGAGATTTGAAGATGATTAAATATAGTGGCAGACTGGTAGCTAGCCCACCCTCACTCAGTTTGCTGTTTACTCTGAGCTATATGCTATTTTATCAGTTCTCATTCAAAATGATGTTACCTCCCCTCAATACGCAAACCTGCATGATGCGCCACTTTCTCTTTATGACATGTCACATGAAATAATTTGTGAGCTTTTAGAGGAAATATGTTTACTAATCTCGTTCTCTCATCATTGACACTTCGTATTCTCATTTTACAAGATCGTACACAATCTATCTCATGCTTTGGAAGTGGATGCAAGCTTGGCAAGATTGGATGAAAGATCACGCCATGTTTTGATCAATGATGAGTCTCTATGTGATTCTTGTCATGCTCGCCTTGGAACAAAACTATTTGCTATGTACCCAGATGACACAATTGTTTGCTACAAGGTTAGCTCTATGTAATAGATGGAAAATTATTTATACTTCATGCCTATTGTTCTTTAAATTTACTCAACTAATTATATAGCTAAAGTGATCCTCTACAGTAACTTCAGCCAAAACAGTCGGAAAAGTAACTCCAACCTTACTTTTTCTTATTATTACACAATTCAGTACGCTAAATCAAAATTTGCGTGTTTGGTGAAAAAGTTTACTGATAAGCCTGATAAGCCCAAAAACATGCTCACCAAACAGGCTCCTAGTGTATATATTGAATATTTTGGAAGTGTAAACTGATCGTGTCTAAAATGTGCAGTGCTTTCGCCGTAGAGGTGAATCCACGTCAGTAACCGGGCGCAATTTCAAGAAAGATAGTTTGTATAAGCCTGGTTGGTTGGTGACACGGTGACTGCATCACTTCAAACATTCCCACCTCCCCCGTTCTTAACATTAACTGGATGGTTAAAGAACTGAAGATTTCACAATGTTTCTCTTGAGAATTCAGCAAACCCAGATGACATATTAACGTGCAATACACTGTATTTTAAAATGTCACAAACCTGATGACCAAATGTTGAGTATTTTGGGTTGTTTTGGGGAGAAGATGAAAGATAGATTATTGCACATTGGATGGTTTTTCCTGTTGGATACATGTGGTTTCAGTGTACATATGTTTTAACAGTGCTTTAGTGGTTTGGTTAATGATGTACCAATTGACATTGAATATAGCACATTCATAGCACGACTGATAATAAGATCCTATGTATGACGGTAAGACGCAGTGGGGGCTTCACCTCTTAAATAATTACTCCGTATTAATTATTATGTCTCTTGTGAGATAATTTCAGTGAACGGGTAATGAAGTGTAATCCATCAAACATATTTCTTCGTACGTTTACATTGCGTTGGTTCATTGTTTTTGGTTTAACTGATGGAAACTGAGACTTTGATGTAATCTTTGGTTTAGAAGAACAGAGGAAAACGGTGTTGGCATTAGGGATTTAGGGGTGGACCGGGCCCGGTCCAGTTCCGGGTCAGGCCCGGCCGGGCTTGGAATTTTGGGAATGAAGCCCGAGACCGGCCCGGGTGTTGACCGGTTCGGGCCAGGCCGGGTCGGGTACGTTTTTTTTATTCATGTTAACAAATTATGAACTACAATTGAGAATCGAGGGGAAAATTAAAACATGAAATACATTTTCTAATAAATAATAATCAATCGGAATATCTGCCACCGTCGGTTGTTTCTTCCATAAAGTGTTGGCCTGTTGGGTGGGGGTGATGCTAAGTTCTTGAGTTCTACGTTGAGCTTTCAATTAATCATGGTAGCAAATAAACGTTTTTTTCCTTAATACTCCAGGGGGTGTCTGGGGGAGGGGGTGGAGTAAATTGGCTTGAAACTCACTCCATTGAGTTTCAAACCCGAGACCACCCATAAATTGGCATTATTTCCGCCTCTCTTCGTATGGCTCTTAAAAATATTTGTAGCAATTTTAGTTTTATGTACTCTTATTTAGGGAATTGCAATATTTGTAGCAATTTTAGTTTTATGTACTCTTATTTAGGGAATTGCATGCCCATATGTATATATCTATGTTTATGTGTGATACTTATACGTGTGAATGTGTGATATGTATTATATCAAAGTTATAGTGATCTGGGGTGAAATGTTTTCTCGTAAAAACATTAAACTCATCGATTATGTAAGTTACTAGTGATTGGATTGCATTCATAACGTACCAACTATAAAGTGTTGTTGATTTCTATAAGAACTTCAATTAATGAAATCATTTAACCTTAAATTTCAATAAGAAGGGTAAATTTAAGTTATTAAATCATTTGCTCGCGCATGCATGTGTGTATTATTAAATCATTTGAACGCTTCATCAATAGTAAACAAGCGTCTCAAGAGAGTTTGCCTTCAATCTCATTCTATAATCCGTTAGCACGTTGCCGCTCACACTAAATTCCTGTTCCACAGCAATTGTTGAAACCGACATTGCTAGCACTTGTTTAGAACGTCAAAGTCCTGGTCATGAAGCGAAATTAATATGATAGCAGATAGCACATTGGTAGGGGTGAACCCAATCTTGGTCCGATCCCAATTGTTTGTAGAAGAAGCCTAGGTCTGACTCGGTTAAATCCGGGTCTGGTCCGATTACGGGTACACGGGCGGTCTGGTCTGATCCCCTTCTATTATTTCTGTTTTCTTACGTTTCCAAGCCAAAAAGAAAAAATTAGCTAGTGGAGACGCATAATGTACACATTTGTATATCACCGTAGATGAAGTCAATCTTTTAATATGTGGCAAATGCAATAAGTTCAAGTCAATTTTTTGGAGTGAGGCAAATGCAATAAGTTATACTAAATAATTTGTCTAAACTTATTGCTGAAGTATGAATGTGTATAGTAGTACGATACAAGCACAACATACGATTGGGAGGGGGGGGGGGGGGGGGTATTATACAACGTAATTTCTGCTCCATTTTTGCATGCAGTGTTCGAGTGAACATATACGAGGATCGAGAGGGATTGATTCTCGGCTCATTTTCTATAGCTTTGAAAAGCAAGAGGCTTGGATGGCTCTGGAGAGGGACGACCCTGAGCTTCATGAGCAAGGCGACTTAAAAGTCTCATTACCGTGGGAAGAAATCTTGACAAGACGGAAAAAAGTCCAGAGAGCTGCATTGCAGTACGCATGCTAAACCCATTAAGCATAGCTTGTGAAGAATAAACTAATTGTATTGTGTTAAAGCAACTAATTGCCCTACATGAAGTCAAATACAACCACCATATGCGTATCCAAGAGTTTTTAGGGGGTGGGGAGAGATTAAATACATGAGAATTGAGAAACACAGTAATAATTTTTTATTGCAAAAAGAAACATTGTGAACTAAGTTATATTGCATTTTATGCACCACACACATAGATTGGTAATAATGCATTGTAAATATATACTCCTTCTGCCCCACAAGGCCACAATAAGGTGTATAAGTTACAAAAATTTTGGGCACATAGATTAAGAAAGTGGGAAAAAACCATAAACTATCCCCTTTTACCGTTGCAGGAAAAAGTAAATAGAGATGGTGTGCTAAAGTTGTGAGGTTAAGTAAATGGAAGACAAAAGTATGAATTGTGTGTAGGACCATTTGCCAAAAAAGAAACGAAACTTTACTTTGGGACAACACACGAGAAATGTGTAACTTCTATTTTGGGATGGAGGGTGTATTTCATAAATGGATAATTTGACTTTTCACCCCATTTTTTAAAAAAATGTATGCACTCATACTAGAATGGGCAGCACACAATAAAATTTTTCATCCCACTTCGGAAAAAGGTCAAAATTCCAATATTGTCCAAAACATGGTGTTCAAAGTAAAATTTCCCCTTCATATATGTGTGTGCGCGCCATATCTAATGTTTTTGTAAACCAAACTGCATTCATGTCTTATTATGAAGAGGGGAGAGAGTAGCAGTTTTACATACGGTGCCATTTTGAAACTTCCTCGAAATGTCCATCTGTACCCACATGGCTTTCCCAAGTAAAAATACAACGAATAAAACCATCAAGTAAAGAGGACTCCTGTTCCAATCCAGAGTATAAACAGAAAATGAAAGCTACTTAATTCGATTAAGAAGACGACATTGTGTAGTGTAGGTAGAACTAAAGATGACAAAAATATTTATAGCCTAAAACGAGCTGCAAACCTCAACAGAACCATGAATTCATTAAACCCCAATACGATCATTGCCAGGATTGCCCATGCAGGAGGTAGGCAATTGTTGTTTTGCCTGTATGCTACCTGAAATAATACTTAGGTGTCACCTACCTTGTAAAAATGTAACATTTCAACCTTTGTTTATTGAAACTAAATAAAGAAAACTGTCTGTTCTAAAGAAAATGAAAAAGGTATTTTTTTAATATAATGCATGACCACAGTTAAGAAAGCCAAACAGAGTTCCATGAGATGTATCAATATTGATATCATCCGAAGGGAAGAAGACCGTATGCCATACCTGCGCAGATAAGGCTTGGCTAATGGTGTACTTTGTTTCCATCTTAAACTGTGCCCACAACTGTTTACACTGATATGGTGTAATAAGTGTGTGATCTGGTGGAACCTGTTAAACTGCAATTTGTGAGAAATGGATTTCATGTAAAATAAATTCAACTGGGAGAGACATTCACACAGACAGACCTCTTCCCATTTGCTTGAAGCAAGAGGGTCACCAGAAACTCCATTTGATCTTTCCTTGGAATTTGAGGACGCTTCATCCAAAAGTGAAGAAAATAGTATGCTCTCTATTTTGTCAGGTTTGTCATCCAGGCGCATGGCCGCCATAATGGATAAAAGATTTAGGGACTGTCAAAAACACAAAGGGAAAAATGATAACTAGCAATGTATTTTCCACATCATCAAATTAAGATGTCAGGTTCTAGAGTAGTCCAAGTAAGTTGCATATTTATACTTAATGCAATAATGTCCCACCCACAAGATGTTGTTCTTTTGAGCGTCATAAGTTTTTTTACTATACTAAAATTTGATGTTCCACCCTAAAAGATACCACGTACGTAGTACATATGATAAGAAGAGCAGATCAAGGCTTGTACATTTAGTTGCAATGTTCTAAACAATCAGGGAATTTGACTTTTTACAACGACATCGATATTTAGATTACCGCAGACTGTGCCTTCTTCGTGATTGCTTTAATATTTTCCTTCCCGGTCCAGATCATTGGAATTGAATCAATATCATGGCCAAATACATGCATGAACCTAAAAGACCAAAAATATACAAAACTCAGAGGTCAAGTTCTCATAGAAATCCAACATGCTACTTTTCATTACCTATCCTTCATGCGAATTAAAATCCTCCCAGCTCCCTGTCTTGCCTTTGTCTCCACAACACTTCTCGCATAGTCCCTAAAATTTTTCTCCATTTTATTCCATTCCTCCTCGTCCAATTCAAAGCCCGATGCCGCATCATAGAAATTTGCTAATGCCACATCAATCTCTCGTTTCAGAAGATCTCTGATACAAGCCCATGTGTCTCGGTCGGCAGCATCTAGCAGTGACTCCACAGGTCCCGTGATTGCTGTTGTAAGCTGTTTCTGCAAAGTCGAAAATGCAAATTAAACCTGATTATTTAATTCTTCATTTCACTTCCCTACCCCCAACAGCAGAAATGGAAATAGGAATGGAAGGAGCTGTCTGTCATATATAAACTTGAAAATGCCGCTCGTACAAAACCATGGAGAATTATGTACCTTGTAGCTAGACTCTAATTTTAACAACCTATCATTACGAACAGAAGATGCATGAGTCGCAATATCATGGCAAAGCTTTTCACGGAATTTTGAAGAATCCCACTTAGCTTGCTTTATTGCAGCTTCTGAATTTTAGGCACAATTGAGTACCAAAATGAAAACAGTTATCAGATTCAAAGTTTAATTACTCTGTAACAAGAAAATGTTAGATAAAAAAAGTACAAAAAAATCATATTAGTTAATTTCCAAATTCCTTCATACAGGTAAGCAGTAAATGTTTCAAACTCACATGCTCCTATGAAGTGATATTTGAAGCATGTAAAATCAAGTTGGTATTAGGCTATTAGCTATAGCAAAATATGGAAATAACACACCCTTTGGTCTGGCGACTATTAAGCCATTCCTATTAGTCATCCACAACTTTCATTTTTTCCATTTTGGTGCATGACCATGCTTTTTGTCACATTGGTCCTTTCCAGTCACTTATCCAGCACAGATCAACCGGAAATTGTCAGGTAAATGGTCAGAGGGACCAAACAAAAGTCTATAGACATGTGACCAAAAGTGGAAAAGTGAAAGTCAGAGACCAGCATTGACAAGGGCCTAATATTCAAGGGACCAAAAGTGAGATATTTTCTAAAATAAATTGCATAATAACTGTTCATGAGAACGTGCAGGTCAAATGAGCTGGTAGATTTTATGTATTTGGACCATCACCATGAACATATACCACAAACATAAGCTTCACACCTTAGTATGCATACCTGAACATTTTGTGTCAAAAAGAAGCACACATGACTGCGTATGTTGACGGACAGAAGAAGCAAACCCTTCTCCTCTGCACAATGACTGTTCCAGTTTTACCTTAAAAGCTTCACATTCAGCAGCACATAAATGGTCCAGCTGGGAAATATATGCAGGCCGAAACTTCTGCAAAAAGCTAAACATTGTAACTGCTCGGGTATTCGATAATAACAAAGCATCCATCCTATTACCAAGGTATGTACATGGAAGAGATCAATTACCTCCAAAATTTTCAATTCTAGATCCCGGCGTTTAGCATTTTTTACCGATTCTTCAAAATATATAGTCTCACCATCATATCTATAAAATTTAATGTCAAACTCCAGATAGTAGGCCTCTATTTCTGAACAATAATAGCATTTACAAAGGCAAAACAACAAAGATCTCAAGGCTTGAGATATTGTTCTTTGCTAATAACAGAATACTTGGCAAATCAATAAACAATGCAAACTTTAAATTTTTTCTTAGGGGTGAGAGGGTTGGTATCGCCCAACCAAAATCTTTCATTTCCCTCCCAAAATTAGCCACTCATTAGATATACTATCGTATTTCCATAAACTAAAACAGTAAAACAGCTTTTAGCATCGAAGTTAGCACTAAATCTTGCACTATTAAGTATGTGCATTCCCAAACTCAGAGTGTTGTACTTACTCAGACAGATAGGTATCTATGATCCGACTTAGTTTTTCGCCAAATTTGGAAATTGCACGATCCTGAACTGAGGATACAACCTCCAACCAATCCTACAACAACAACAACAACAACAAACTTAGTAGCAACAGAGTTTGGGTCGGCTAACATGAATCGACAAATGAAATCGGAGCTATAAATAAGATAGGATAAAAAAAATAAAAAGATAAAAAAAATAAGATAAAGATAGAAAAGATAAGATAAAAAGATAAAGAAGACAAGAAAGGTAAAAAGATAAAATGAGATGCATCCAACCAATCCTATGCAAATAATATATCAGAGTACACAAATGGGAGGTTCTGGTTCAAAAGGAGAACTGAAAAAAAACCTTGTCCTTTGTCAAGAGACTGAGCTTCTCATTGGCAATTTCTTCACAGCGCACAGTGGCAACCATGACCTACATAAAGCAAATATGAATTTGTGACTCGGTCAGTATATGTAGCTATTGTGATTGAAATACATAGGGTAAAACAGACATTAATATATCAAAACCAAACTCAACCTTGTGAGCAGGCAGGTCAAGATCCTTATTCTCTTTGATAGCTTTCCATATCATTTGTGCGCTATATGAAAATGCTGAAGCTGCTACAACTTCCTTTCTATCCCCAGCAATACCTCCTGGAGAAGTAGACTTATAAAAGTGCTCTCTAAGCTTAAGAACCTGAATACACAGACTTTGAGCGCATTACTATCTCCATCTATTGTTCTTCTTAGAAATGGTATAATAGAAATACAAAAACTCTTAGGCTTGTAGAAGCCACCTCCTCTTTGAACTTTTCTTCATTTGCCTCATAGCTTGACAAGGCATAGACCTTTACCTTCACATCCAAAGTAGATACCAATAAAAAAAAATGTATCATACTGTTATTTTTGTTAACAAACATTAAAGGAGGATGAAGTTCTTACATTGAAAAAATCATTCAGTCGAGTGTGCTTGTGAGCCTGTGGCTTAGGGATTCCATTCCATATCTGCAAAGTGCACATAAGGTGGTATTAAAAATACTCTGTTTTTCACCCAAAAAAAACACTCTATTTTCTTACATGAGGGACACCCAAAGTTATAAATGTGAGTTTGTATTTATATTGTGTATATATCTTTATATTTTGCAGTTGCAGATGGTCGCTCGTTGGAGAGAAAAATCTTGGATTTCAGTAGGCTATTTGTTTAAATGTTTGACCTTAATTGGTTTTGATAATTAAGACTTGAAGTGCATATAAGGTTAACCTTATATGAATGTATTTATATTTTGCAGAAGTGGTATGGGCTTATCACAATTCACAATGCAATAACAATATTACTAAGGTAAGCTACCTTTTGGATATCCTTCAGCAAAATATCACTCAATTGCTTCAATGGAGTCTGCACGAAGGGCCAAGGGAAGGATATTAGACTGTAGAACAAATGCTTAGCTAATAGGTAAACAACTAGCCACTATGTGAGCAGTTGCAGCAGGTTCATTTATAGTGTAGACCTAACCTTTGTTTTGTCACGTATAATGAACAGAAGGGTAGTTTTGCGAGGACGAAACAAGCGCATCATGACCTATCAAAGGTAAAATAATAATAGTGAAAATGGCATCAACAACAAGGCACTGTGCATTGAACACCAAAAATAATGAACCTCCGGAGCCAAGTGATGGTGAATAATAATAACCCTCCATAATAAGTTATTACTGCTTGCTTGTACCTGAAATATTGCTTTCAGGAGGGGTCTGTTTGCAGCCTGATCTCTCCCAATATCGTGACACCAGCTAGAAGTGATGACATGTAAAAGTAACTGTTACTGAATATTGAAAATGTATATCTATAGAGGAAATAGGGGTGCAAAGTCAAATGATTTTATGCTAAATGGGATGCACACGTTAATGATTCTGAAAATGGGGTGCAAAGTCTAATTTCACCCAAAATATGGGGTGCAAGTCCAATTTCACCTAAAATATGGGGTGCAAAGTCAAATGCCCCTTATCTATAATGAAATAATATCCCGTGCAAAAAGTTAATACAATACCTTGACACAATTGACAGTATGACACTACAGGTCAGCCAAAATAAAATCTCAAAAGAAAATGAAAACCAAACTGTTGTCATGGAAAATTTAAGAGATTTGCATGCAGTAATGCATAGCAGTAAAATTTCACATGTCATTTAAGTGAGGAAAAGAAGAAGAAAAATATCACTGAACTGTAATCCAAGGTTTACTGCAAGTGGTCAGTTTAAGAGAAGCACATAGAACTCACATGTTTATTAGCACAACATCTGCGATTGCCAAAGCAAATAAAGCACTTTGCTTCTCAAATACTGTATCATCCTGCAAACAACCAGGCCGGAAAAGTCTATGTAAGTCTTCCATTTAGTACATAATTCAACTGGAGATCAGAGTTGTTGAACTACATTTGTTTCACTCCGAGTATGCATTATTAGATTATCTTTTACTCCGTATAATAAAAGAATACAGAGTATAGAATTATAAATGCAATGATCAATAATACCTCACCCCTTTCCCTGCCATCGGTGCCTTCCAAATCAATGACAATGGTGCAGGGATCAGTAACCGCCCCGGCCTTTGCTATCCATATGCCTTTCGTCGTTTGATTCCTGAAATAACACTCTCCTAATTAACATATATATTCATACATTGGAGAAGTTGCATTAATAAGGCCACACAATTAACTATTCCGGCAAACTCACCTCCCTTTGTAAGCATCCATTTCTTTGAATTTCGTGCTGAAGAGATGATTCAATAAAGTACTTTTCCCTGCACAGAACAGATTATTGAGTACGCAATGAAAATACGGAGTAATACAAGCGAAGTATGCTATTTATCGTTATAACAGTTTCAGTGATCAAATATTCTAGTTTGAGCATATCATGTTTACTAATATTCTCCGTATTATGTACACAATATGTTATGAAAAAAATTGTTAAATCTGCAGCAATGTGAGATTTAAACTAAATAAGAAACGCTAAAATTCAAAAAGGCATTAAATTAAATATTGAAGAATTATTACCACTACTCTGAGGACCCATAATAGCGACAACGGCATAGGAGAGGCCGCACTGATGGAACTTAATGGCGTCCATGAAACCTTGCAGTCCTTGGACGTTGAACTCTCCATTGCCGTCTATGAGCTGCGTGGAGAAACTGCCGTCCGGTGGGGAAGACATTGAAGGCCGGAATCAGCCTTTCGCGGGGAAATATGATCGAACAATATATCTCTAGCTAGCTCACAGATAATGTACAGATCGAAAGATGAACGAATTACGCCGTATAAATGATCGATCATCCAAAGCTGGCTTTGGACTGAAGGTAGGCGTATATGCTGAATTGCAGAGAGAGCTGCTTTTGGCGGCTAGCTACAACGTTGAATCTACGGAGAGTATATATCTTTCGTAATTGATTTAGCAAGGATAGTTTGAAAAACGGTTAGGACAAGAATCTTAGGGCTGTTTACTTTTTTTTTCCATTAAGTTCTGAATTGATTAAGATGTCTGTCTGAATTAAGACGTTTGTCTGGATTTAGTGATATTGAGATAACAAGCTGTTTATTATGTGTGCTGAATGAGAAGTCTAAATATGTTAAATGACCAAATAACCCTCCTATCTAGAACAAGTGATGAATATATATTTTATGTTTATTTCCCTTGGTCTGAAAAGATAATTTCATATCCCTAATAAAAACAATGAAAGTAATTTGATATAAAAAACAATCTGAATTAATCCAATATGCAACTTGTTTCATTTTCTGTAGTCAATTCTCAAGAAAAACAAAAAAAACTTCTTCGTATATATTTTTGGGACAAACCCTCCATACAATTATTTAAAATAAAAATCATTTTATATTTACCTGAATTTGTACATCAAATATACTTTCCAGAAAATTCGAAAACAATTGGACTGTATTGAATGTCAAAATTCAGATTGAGTATATAAGCAAACTCAGGTCAAGAAGCTTTGTGAACTGCAGAAATTCGAAAGAGATGGCAGCTATATTTTATCCTCATCTCAACAGGCCAGGATCTTCCAACGAGCAGTGGCCTCAATCAGTCAATCGCAAACCCCCTTTGGCCTTCTTTTAGTGGTAACCTTTCCCAACTTTCCTTTAACCCTGTCGTCGGTAATCAGCAGTAGAAGCCAAGAGACGGAGAAACCAGGGTTAAACAGGACATTCAAATAAAATGGGATGTCTGAACCGGAAGGACAACTAAAAGGGAGCTGAATGAATAAGTGAGATCATGTCTGACCGAATAAGTCAGAATTTCTATTAAGTCCAAAATAAACAAGAGTGTACAACTGACCGAATAAGTCACTCATTCAATTCAGTCCATTAAGTTCAAAATAAACAGGGCCTAATACTCCTATCCATTAAGACAAGATTACCATTTCCGCTAACGTTAGGATAATATTAAAAAAAGTAAGCTTTAAGTGGCCGATATTACTGTAAAAAAAGTGGCCAATATTGAATTGAAAAAGGGAAAATGGAAACTAATAATCCAACCTTTTAGCGGTCTTCTAACAATAATCCAACCTTTTGGTTATTCATGAATAATCCAACCTTTGCACCTTATCTTCATTCACTGGTCCCTGACCGGTTGATGACCTGCTATTCCAAACTATTTTCTTATCTTTGCAAATCATTATACCATAAATCTCATCTTTCACAAAGATAATATTTTGCAAAGATAAGAAAAAATCTTGGAATAGTAGGTCATTAACCGACCAGGGACCAATGAATGAAGATGAGGTGCAAAGGTTGGATTATTCATGAATAATCAAAAGGTGGGATTATTGAAAGAAGATCGCTAAAAGGTTGGATTATTAGTTTCCATTTTCCCATTGAAAAAAGTAATACGGAGTGATAATAGCGTAGGATAACATAAATTCTACTAAATTTGATATGATTTTTTTTATTGAGATATATCCAAAATGAAACACGAGAGAATCTTAACCGGATGGACAAAGTACTATGAATCAACTAATGCATAAAAAGAGACTTTTTTAAAATTTTAAAAAACGAGACAAAAGAATTAAAAGGGTTAAGTTTCAAACAAGTAAATTAATTTCAAATCAAATCAAGTTCAGCTTATCATACTAAACACACAAACAAAATTATGTCTCGGGGTGCAAATGAGCCGAGTCGCTCGTGAGCCGCTCGGTCAAAGCTCGAGTCGGGTTCGGTCAAACTCAAGCTCGAGCCGGCTTGTTAAGTAAACGAGCCTACCAATTCTAGGTTCGCTAGCTCACGAGTTTAGTTTTATATGTGAATATATAAATTAATATTAATATACTACGTATAATATGTTAATATACAATACGTAGTATATTTTAACATATAATATATTAGTATATATGGAGTATATAATATCATTATATATATATATATATATATATATATAATACCGATTAGTAAATTTATATAAGGACTGGGGAGATATTATTAATTATTAATTTATTATATTATAAAGTAATTTATTATTAATTGTTTCCGTAACTTTAGTTTCAGTTGAATCTGGTTTGACCACTTTTGATTTACATTAAAAGCACAACTGGTTGGAGACTTGGAGTTGAGATTATATTTTGTATATTTTTTGTTCTCGTAACTCTACTTTACTTTTGGTACAATGTACTATGGGCCTGAAAGGATTGAGGTTGAAGTACTATCTACTCGTAGTTGAAGTTGTATGGGCTTGAAAGGATTGAGCTTAAGCAATTTACTTGTTTTTAGAGTAAATTACTACACTATATCATTTGTCAAATGACTTGCAATGAAGTTAGGAGGAGTAGAAAAACCAACTTCACTACTATACATAGAAACAACTGCCCTAGCAATGCAATGGGCTGCCTGATACTCCGGTCGTCTACCAACAAGACTTCCCTCCCAGCCCTCGACAACATTGATTGTTCCGTTTCAAAAGTCATTTTAAAACCCTCTCTTTAAGATATATATCATTGTTTCCTTTTTTTCTCCCAACTAAAGCCGGAAGTCCCAAATACCTATATGTATTTACCTCTTGATTAAAAGTCAGAATTGAATGTAAAATCTCAAGTAACTCGTACCTCACATCAGTACTAAACTAAATACACGATTTATCAAAATTCACGATTTATCCCGAAGATAGTATCATATCTCCTTAGAATGTCGTTAACCATCCGTCCAAGCCACCTGATATTCTTCCGGCAGCGCCCTTAAAAATAAACACCTATCAGCTGCGAAGTAAACTAAATAGTGTTCCTTTTGCAAATAGCAGTGTAGAGGTTGATCAACGATGCATTAATCTCTAAAACGATCTTAATAACTTATATATTGAAAATTAAGCTCAAAGTAAACTCAAAATAGAATTCAAGTTAACCAATGCATAATTAAATGATATTCAATATTAGATAGATGGAGTACTAAATTTCAAGTAGTTGAACAAAATTTATATCTAAATGTAAAACCTTAAATTTTCCTCATTATTTAACTTAACTCTATGCGCATGGCTAATTTAGGGTTTGGTAAAACATACTGCTTGGCAAGCCTATAAGAAAAAGGTAAGAAAATCATAGGATCACTACAAGAAGATCTTGAGGAAGTGAGGTCTTACTTAATGACCCCAACTAAATTATAATTCACTCTTCATTATATTGAATCCTTTCTTCTTGACAATTGCACATTGATAAAGAGGAAGTAACCATTTTTCAACTCGTTAATGTTGTGCATTAGCTCTCACACATTGTGCGTAAAAATACTAATATTACTAGCAAGTGTTCGTTACATTTTCATATTTTTCTACATGATGACTTTTGTCAAATAATTGTGTGTGTCAATTACATACTCTTTTCTAGGGGTGGGCATAAAACCTGAACCGAACCGGTACCGAACCGGTCCGTTATGGTACCAAACCGAATATCGGATATATAAATGGTTCTATAGTTTTTTATCCCGAACCGAAACCGGTACCGTTTGAATCGGGTACGGGATCGGTCCTAGATTTTGAGAACCGAAAAGAACCGGACCGGACCGTTCAAAAATAATGCATTTGAATTTTTTATATATTCTTCCATAACAATAAATAGGGATAAGGGTCAGATAGGGCTTCGAACTTCAAAAAAAATGTCAAATAAGGCCATATTTAGGCTACTATGTCCGGCTAACGCCACTTGGGGCGGTTCCCGATGGAATTTTTTGATGAATTTTTTTGAGAATCTTATTCATTAAGTCTAGTTTACTCATATCAAATTTGAACTACCAATTCAATCGGGAAGGCATTCAAATGAATTCTTGAAGATAATTGCGCTTTTAACTGCACAGTTATCTTCAAGAATTCATTTGAATGCCTTCCCGATTGAAGTTTTAGTTCAAATTTGATATGAGTAAACTAGACTTAATGAATAAGATTCTCAAAAAATTTCATCAAAAAATTCCATCGGGAACCGCCCCAAATGGCGTCGGCCGGACAGAACATCCTAAATATGGCCTTATTTGACATTTTTTTTTTCAAGTTCGAGACCCTATCTGACCCTTATCCCCAATAAATATATTTATAGACCAACAATTTTATATCCCAATATGTATTCATGTGTCTCTAAGATAGCTAAATGTGTGTGTTTATATGTATATTGTTATTTTTTCTTTTTAGCTAATTTTGTGTTATATTTTGGTATATATGTATTAAAAGAATGTTAAAGTTTTAAAAATCATTAATGACTATTCATTCCAAGTAATGTAGTGTATATGACTTTTTGTTGTATCATGTTTGTGAAATTGTACAACTTAATTAATATGATTTAAATCTTAGCTCTCACGGTTTAACTATAAATTAAACCAGAACTAATATTTAACTTCTAGAACAAAAAAGAGCGTTGAATTTTTCTATTATATCGAACAATTTAATGATATTCTTTTTATATTTTCACATGAATTTAATAAATGAAATATGATATTTATCTCGTGTATCATCACTTTGCTATACTTTTTCTTAGTTGTGTTGCACTATTTGTGTATCTGTGAACTTTAGTACTACGTATGCAATTTCTACTATTTATTCAACACTTAATGTGAGTTGGTTAGTGTGATGTTATTTACTAATTGTAAGATTTGTCCAATTTTTTAGCATGTGTTTGACATTGTACCGTACCGTTTTGTACCGTTCCGAAATGACATGGTACCGAATGGTTCCATCCTTAGACCCGGACCGTACCGGACCGTTAGAAACCTCACGAATACATTACGGGTTTTACCAATTTCCCGGACCGTTCCGGACCGCGCCCACCCCTACTCTTTTCTACCTATTTTTCATTCTAACAATGGATAGTATGCAAACAAATTGCGCGTGATTGATTTTTTAATTTAGTTCCTATCAGTGGCGGAACCAGGGGTGGGCGAGCCGGTGCCGGCGCCACCCCTTCGCCGGAGATGTTAGGGTATATGTATATAAAATTTCCACAGCGCCCCTTGTTGTCTTCTTCCTTGGCCCTGCTTTTTTCCGCCGACCTGCGCTCTGTTTCGTTGGATAGACGATGGCTTTCAAAGGTTGTGTTTTTGTTTTGTTTTTACTTCACCCATACGACACAGTTTTATTAAGTGGGAAAAGAAACAGAAACGACGACGTACGTAGCATAGCAGGGCTCATTGGCCGACTTTAATTTTGAGTGTCATCAGTTCTTATAATTATCAGTCCAAAGGCCATGGCTTGACCGAAGGCCCAACCGCCCATATTCTAAAATCAGAAATATGAAACGACCTGTGCCCCTGTAGTCGATAGCGGTTTGGCTAGGTCTTCCGATTGGTGAATTCTCATCTGCGATGTAGAGGTTTATTAGTTATTTGATTAACTTGCCAGTTGCTACTCCGTATATTTTAGTGTTTTAGTCATTTAATTTTGAATTATTTGTAATTTGGGTTGCCATTAAGGTGGTTATATTATTAATTGAGGTTTTCAAGGTTGCCTTTTCGCTTTGCTTTGCCGCCTTGAGATTTACTGGTTGAATCCTTTGAGAATTGCTGAATTGATACATGTTATAACTAGCAATTAATCCCTGTTTTTAATTATTTAGTTTAGCTTGCGATTAATATACTCCGTACAGTTTTAGGCTAAAAATTTATTCTTTTAATTATTTACTTTTTTGGAATTTAAAGTTTCAGAATTTTAATAATCTTTAACTAGTTTAGGGATTTATATTGTTTTATCTACTATGTACTTTTGTAAATAACTTAAGTAAACAAAAATGACCAATAATTTATACGGAGTATTACTACTCAGAATATTAGTAATGAATTTATATAATTTTTATTTGGTAGATTACCTTTGTGTACTTGACCCCAAAACTTTTTTGGAATAAAGTTTAGAGGTTATTGTTGTTAGATTACGTATTCTATATTACCATTGTATTTTCTCAACTTGTTTTTCCAATTTTAATATTTTGAGTTTTGATGAATTTCTTGACCGCCCCCTTCAAATATTCTTCTGGTTCCGCCACTGGTTCCTATAGATACCATTGTCAAATTATAAAAGGATAGATCGATAATAATAGTGAGTTAGAGTACAAAAAATAAGTATTTCATCTCTTCATACATTAACCAAAGCTTTGATTGAACACAGTGATTAGAAAGTGAATATGCATGGTCAAATAATTAAGGTCAATTATATACAATGAAAAGAGAAATGGGGCGAATCATATTACATTTTTCTTTGAAAAATGATAGATTCTTTTAGAAGTTAATTTAGAAGTTAAGACATATAAAAAGGAGGACCGTGTCAATACTTTGGAAATGATTAAATATATAATAAATCTGGTACTCATAGAAAAAGAAAAAGAATTTAAAGAATTGGTTTGATAGATGATTTCATAATGGTAGTTACTATTTAAAATATCCATAATGATATAGTACGTGTAATAATATTAGTACATAAATTATTTACTTTCAACAAACCAAATGAAAAGCTCCCAAAACTCATTTACATCCCTAATACCAGTACCAACACGGGAACATTGACAAATGAAATAGTACTTCTATACTTTAGTAGTTTTTTAAATTTAAAAACAGATTAGTTGAGTGATCTGAAATATAGAAGATGAAAAGAGTAGTTACAGAAATATTTCGTTATTGGATGAAGTTGCTCCAAAATTACATAATTCCGTTCATTTTAAGTTTTTTTTTTCTCATACGCCATTAATTAATCCTATTACTTTCATTCCATAATTAAATTCCTACTTTCAAGTTTCAATAACACTAACTTTCCAACATCACCACTACTTAATAACCTCATGATCCTTGGTTACTTCGTGATAATAAGAATGTTTTTACTTGAACTGTTTTCAGTCCCAGACCAGATCATAACAAATCAAATCGTGAATCCTATGAGTGGACTTAGAGTCAGTCACCTCATACAAAGTAACATGACTCGCTAAACCTAAAACGGACAAATTTAAGCCTAAAACGACCGGAACCAAGACACTGTCTATCAAAAGAACTCTAAAAATCCAAATATTCAAATCAAAACTACTCGGATTAAAACAGAAACAATTGCCACTAAAGAGAAAATATTAGTAACCCTAATATTAGTAACAATTTTAACAAATAAGTCTCTCCAATACATGTAGCCGATCTTACCCTCTCATAAATATAAATGGAAAAGAATTTGGGATAGGCTAACCTAAATCAAAATATGATATCTGATCTAAAAACAATAAATAGAGAAAAATGGAGACAAACAACATCAAATCAATTTTCCATATGTACTCTAACTCCAAAATCATCTTTCATTTAATCCAACATGTATTATATCATTTTTTCCACTCCATATTTATCGGGAGTCGGGACTCCCGGCCATCCCCTCCTCACAACAAATCAAATTAATTGATACATTTAATCGAACATGTTAATTATACACATACGTTTACAATTACAAGTTTGGTTTCTTATGATCATCTCTGTTTGGGTATGTAACGCACTTGAAAACTTTGCACTTCCAACACACCCGGTACCCGATCTGCAAACACCGAATTACTATTCTTAATTATTATTTCATTTCACATAATAATAATAATACTCATTCAAAGACTATACCAAGCCTTGCATGGGAGAATCTAGCTTCCCAATCATAAGAAATGAAACACCAGTGAGTAAAGAACTAAGGCAACAACTTACAGCCCTGCAAGAAGGACACCGCCGGTATATCTTTTTAGTTTCAGACTGTACATTAGTCTTCAGCCCTTTACAAAAATCGCATAGGATCCATCCCATGCCACTACAAGGCTCACATGACATCTCTGAATCAAACTGCATTTGAAAAAAAAACATGTGAACATATCACAAATAAAAATATACCAATAGATTAGCATTAAAAACATGGTACCAAAACACCTGCACATTAAGGGAGTGTTTGCAAATGCTTTTGCTTAACAAAAACACTTTTTGAAGTGATTTTAGAAAAAGTGATTAGTAGTAAAAGTTGATAGTGTTTGAGAAAAAAGTGATTTTGAAAAGTAAAAGTTGGTAGTGTTTGGTAAAAGAAGTGCTTTTGTGTAATAGAAAAAGTAAAAAGCACTTTTTGGTAAAATAAGCGCTTTTTAAGTAGAAGTTGTCACTTGAAAACACTAATTTTAGCTCTTTTAAACCAAAAGCCGAGAAACGCTTTTTTTAAGCTCTTGCAAACACTCCCTAAGTGGCCATTTCATAACACCCAACTTTTCATTTATTAGCTTTATCAGCCAGCGGCCAGATTCTTTTTAACTGAATGCTTACATATCTGAATATATATTTTTGGCTGAAATGGAAGGGGGAGAAAAATGCCACTTCTACCATTTCACCAAGTCTCAATCCGCCACGGAAGCTGACATGGCGCTAATGCATTCTATAAGCCGCAGAAAATGTGTCGCCTTAGGAAACAGTACATTCCAGGCGTTTAGTCCCGCATTTATCTTAGATGTTTCTTGAAAGTCATTTATTTGTGTGTTCCTATTTATAAAGATCAAGAAATGTAAAAAAAATAAAACAAATCATTAAATTCCATTTTTTTCATAAGAAAATAACTTTTCTTAGCCTTAATTTTCCTTTTCCACCATTTTCTAGGATCCAACAATACTATGGAAATTTCAACAACACATACAAGAAATCATCTCGGAAGATCATTGACAAAAAGTTCTATGACGTCTGACTCCCAGATTCAAAGACAAACCAGTCGTGGTAATTGGTTATTTTCCAGTTTGCCACAAATGCAGTCAGGCACCACATAGTTATCAAAATAATCGACTGGAGCTGATAAAAGGAGGTAACAAATTACAACAACAAAAAAAAGAACTTTATGATAAACTGGTGATGTTATGGCAACATTTGGATCTGGCATGCTTATTAATTTATGTTTACTTCATCATTTTGAGGGATATTTTACTTAGTCCTCCCGTTATTACAGTTTTAAGAGATACATTCTTTAGTCTCTCACGGACTTAAGACCGAAAGAGTGACAGACTAAAGTCACAGCACAGGTTAATCATGAAATAATCGCACTTAAACAGAGGGACTAAGTCAACCATTTATTAAAACTAGAGATCAGAATTGCAATTATTCTTACTGTTTTTCAGATAATTCGACTTATAGACACAATCTCAACAAACTACACGCATCCATCCCAGAGCAATCAAGCTCTAAGTGAATTTTAAGTTGAAATTATGGTGGTGTTTGCTTCCAGGAAAATGTTATATGGGTTATCTTGTGTTTGGCACATGAATTTCTTTTTATGGTATTTTCTACAATTCCAAATCAGTTTGATTCTGTCTGCCTTTATTTTTCCTACTTTACCTTTTTATCTAGTCCAAAATAATACCCACATTCCTAATACTAACCTTTTCCATATCCACTCTCTCCATCTCTTATTATTGAAAACATTTAGGGCAATTGACTCCACATGGAGGACAATAGTAAAGAATGAAGTACATTTTCATCAAAAAAGTGCACCAAAACAAAGTGGTCTTATATTTTCGGGACAGCAGAAATGTTATATATACCCCTTATAGAAAAACATAGAATAAGAGTAGCACAAGAATTTATATGTTGGTTTATATCTGTACATTGACAAAGACACAAAGTTTATATAAATATAAACTTCTCACAAAATAATGAAGAAAAAATAATTTCCACCAACAAGCTAACTACCTAATGGATGAAACTAACTAGCCGAGGTCTGATTCTAGAATCTGGTCGGATTGGGCCAGACAGGATAAGGGAGTTAACAATTGCCAAATGATGAGACGAGGATGTGTACGTGGAAACCTGGAAAGAGAGCAACGAGAGGTGTCATGGGCATGGGCACATTTCTAGCAGCAAGTGGTCCAGCTGTTCATAGCCCCATCACCACTTAAAGACGTTGAAAATTAGAACACAATATTCAAAATATTTTTTATTTAACCAGTCCTAACTGGGTTCTTTCTCATCCATTCTGATTTTTGAAGGCCATACAGTTGGGATTAGGGGTGCAAGAGATTTGAGTAGTACACAAGTGGCCTGCGAACTACTTGATCCACTACTTGATTAATGCTTGACTTAATGAGTGTGAGACAAGCTCAAGTAACTCCTAAAAAATTGAGTTGAGTATGAGCTAGGTTGTCTTGTGCTCGAAAGCTTGACGAGCCTATTCAAATAGTCAACATATTATGTGTGTGTTTTAACTTCACCTTTTATATTTCAATCAATGACTGATATTCACAAGATCTTGTTTTTGAAGTAAATTTTAAAAAATGAGAAAAGATTCCACCAAATTTAGGTAGTAACAAAGGTTCTATTTATAAGTAATGACCATTAATCAGAAAAACAGAAGTGAATATTAAATATTCTTATAAGTTATAACAATATGTTCTTATACACACTTTTGGGTGGATATAAATTCAAGCATTTTGAGTCAAGCTTCCAGTATCTCGGGTGCTCTTTCAAGTTGAATTCAAGCAGTAGATTTATTGCTTGACTGACTTGGAGCTCAAGTAAGAGAAGCTGATAGCCTGATACTTCTTCAAACCCAAGCTGGAAAATGGTTTTACTAGGGCCTATAAATATTACTCCGTATGATGATACAGTAAGATGTGTTCTTATACGCACTTTTGGGTGGACATAAATTCAAGCTTTTGGAGTCAAGCTTCTAGTATTTCAGGTGCGCTTTCAAGTCGAATTCAAGCAGTAAATTATGGCTTGAATACTTCGAGCTTAAGTACTAGCAGCTGATACTTCTTCAAAGTTCAAACCCAAGCCAGAATATGGTTTTACTAGGGCTTGACTTTCCTAGAATCAATGGACCCCTAGTTGGGATTCATATAATTCCGGAGATTAAATGAATAAGTCCAGTAAGCAGAGGTTTAATCTTAACAGAGGCAGGTTACATAACTATATAAATAAACCTAGGTGCTGAGAAAAAAGGAGGTTGATGATATGATATTGCTTACCTGCTGCGGAACCGGCATAGAGCGCAGCCGCATTAGCCAGACACGGGAGGGAAACGCAGCCCGCGCCCCGGAAAAAGCAGGACTCCATCCCGGCATTTCAGCTATGCTCAATGGGATAGTCATCCTAGGGTGGAAGATGCTGGGGATTTGTAACTATATGGATTTGTAATTTTTTAAAGATAATGTTTGAAACTGATTCTGCTTCTGCTTCTTTTGCACCAGAATCACTTTTGCACTTTCACCCAAACACTCCAGCTTCTGCTTCTGCTCCCTGAAGGAGCAAAATAAGTTTTAAGAATCAGATCCAAAAACACCCCATTGTGTTCCACAGGGATTTGTAATTGCAGGGGAGATGAATGCATCAGGGATGGGCAATGAAGGAGGTGCTAGGTGTAAATTTTTCAATTTTCACTTTCTTTACAACATGTACCTACACAACAAATATGATATCTGGACTTTAATGTTACTTTTTTAGAGGGGGGACATTATTCATACTTAATAAACTAATACCTATTTTAACAGGTGGAGGTAATGTTGTAACAACAGCCACTTGCTAATATAATGAAAGAAACCCAAACAGGCTACAAGGGAGGAAAAAGAACTTCTATAAGGATTAACAAGGCACAGAGTGGATCGGTGGAGCTTAGTGGAGCCATTAAACTTTTTTTCAACATAAAATACACTAAAAATGTATAGGAGCAAATATAGACCCTGTATACCAACAGAATATGAGGCTGCAGGAAAAGTGATAAATGTGCTTAATGAAGGGCTGTGCAGATTACCAAGGACACTCATGGTGGAGGGTAGTGTGTCAACTCCTATGAGGTCTTTACATCGAAGGCCGAGATGAGATGTACTTGTCGTGGCTTACTGTGTTCTAGAGTATTAGGGCAGCAATACATTCATAATGCCTGAATTGACTATGTTGGATTGATTTTTCTTAAGGATGGACAGTTTGTAACTTACCTAATACCCCTAAGATTTGGCTACCCATAGTTTGAAGAAAGGTGAACTGAACTACATCACTCCATTGTTATTCTACTACGTTTTCCTGCATCACTTCCATTTTTTTGTGAAGATATAGTAGAAAACAGAAATTGTGCAAAACCATAACTGATTTATTGGTAGGAAAAATAGTGGCGACGTGGCGTAGTCTCAAACACCTAGCATGCGTTAAAATTTTTTATGTGAAGTCCTAAGCTACATGTTGTGCGCAAACAGAAATAGAAAATTAAACAGAAGAGTGGAAAACAAACCCAACAAAAGTACAAACTACAACAACTAAACGAAGGCAAGGAGATGCCATGGTAAGAGCACTCATATAACAACGGCAATGATCAATAAGCATCAACTATTTACGGGAAGAAGAAACTCACCAAAGTGTTGATCAGGCCGCATGAAAAAGATGACAACCCTAAAGAAACCCCCATTTATAAAAGCACCAGAACTCCAGAAGAAATTTCATTGAATAAGAATTTATTTTTAATCGATGCTTTAACTTCTGAACTTCTGGAAAGCAGGTTGAATAAGAATTTATTTTTGATCGATGCTCCAACTTCTGAACTTCTAGAATGTAGGTTGAAAGACTGGCGCTTTGGCTTCACAAACAAGTGCGAAAAAATAAGTCCACGGGGGTTAGGTTTGTTTAAACCGGTAGTTAGACACCGTTAAGGAAGTAACGTTCCGTAAACGTTTACAAGTGTGCACAATAGTCAACGTACATCAGTAGTAGCACAATGTACATCACGATAAAGCAAAGTCCAAGCATTTAATAAGAATATGTGTCCTTTATAAGATAGGTTAAGATAAGATTACTCCTATATCAATGCAGTGGCCTAAACAGTTGTAATATGGCTAGAAAAATTCCACTTTCCAATTCAGTAACGCACGCCACAAAAATACTATTCATACTCGTAAGACTTGATAATTCACACACCACAATTATACTCCGTATTATTATTATTATTATTATTATTATTATTATTATTATTATTATTATTATTATTATTATTATTATTATTATTATTATTATTATTATTATTATTATTATTATTATTATTATTATAAACGAGATGATGCATAATGTTATCCTAAATTGGTGTGTTGAATAAAATTCAGAAACGAATTATCTTTAACAAATTCGGACATGCATCAGTAAGGGAAAAATACGCAGCGGAATAACGGACATGAATGATGAATCGGCAAAATATCCCTCACCCTATCATCACTTAATGAGTAATTACAATCATATGAAACGGTTCCTTTAATTATTTGAGACTGAAGAAAACCTTCGAACATCAACTTGAGTGGAATTCAAAATCCAGATTCTTGAGAATAAACAATGAACTCATATGTGGATTCAAAAAAAAAATCCATGGATATATAATGGTTGTCTCTCATACCAATTGTTGGATATTCATATATATATATCAACAAATCTCCATATGCAATATATATATATATATATAATATATATATATACACACAAATCTTCATGTCAGGCCGGCCTGACGGGATTCTCCGTCCGGCCGAGCCCATTTGGGAACCTTCCCGATGGAATTTTTTTATGAAATTTTTTGAGCATGTTCCTCATCAAGTCTAGTTTGTCCATACCAAATTTCAGCTCAAAATGCGATCGGGAAGGCATTCAAATAAAATTTTGAAGTTGACTGCAGTTTTATATGTATATTTTGACGCAGTCAACTTCAAAAAATGATTTGAATGTCTTCCCAATCGAATTTTGAGCTGAAATTTGGTATGGCCAAACTAGACTTGATGAGAAACATGCTCAAAAAATGTCAACAAAAAATTCCACCGGGAAGGTACCCAAACGGGCTCGGCCAGACGGAGCATCCAGTCAGGCCGGCCTGACATTAAGACCACTCTCTCTCTCTCTCTCTCTCTCTATATATATATATATATATATATATATAAGTTAAATCCATATAAATCCATGAAATTAAACATGTATGAACTAAAATTAGAACCATACTTTGAGAATTCATTTGTATTAACACTTTAAGAGGACACAGGAGTTCAACGCGGTTGATCGGCTAAACCTTCCAGTGCTATGTACTGTATGAGATGATCGATATCCTAGTCCTACCAATGGATGGGATATATATAGGACTAGAGTAACTTGTACGGTTTGGCCTTATTAATTTATAATTATTCCTTCATCATTACTACAATAATGATATTAAGTAGAATAATTTATTAGCTACCATTTTCCGTTACGATGTCGTTACAATTATCTTTTTATTTACATGCACCAGGGGTCATAACGTACCGTTGTATCATTTTAGTGTAATATATTCAATTTGACCCGTCACCAAAAGAAATATATTATCCCGGTATATACACTTTTATCATTTCATGAATAGCCACTGTATTTTATTATATATCTGATGGTAAACACATTTTAATTAATTACATATTAGGTCCCTTTTATTGTTTCCAACAGTTTTGCCTCCCGAAAAGGTCCATATTAGATGTAACTGGGTTTTTCAAACAAAATATAAAATTGATGGTATTATAGGAAGGCATAATGCAAGAGTAGTTGCTAAAGGTTTCACTTAACAACCTGGGATTGACCTCTTAGGCACCTTCTTACTAGAAGCATGACTTACCACTATTCAAACTCCCCTTTATATTTCTATATCCAAATGATAGTTTTACATCAAATGGATGTTAACAATGATTTTCTTCATGGATATCTCCCTGAAGAAATGTACATGACACCACCACGTTATGAATGTGGCTCCTCAAATCATGTTTGCAAGCTTACTAAGTGGCTTTATGGACATAAACAAGACACCAGATGACACTTGAAACATACAAATGCCTTGATGAGTCAAGGGTTCCATGCAGTCAACTTAGACCCTTCTCTTTTTTATCAAAATCGCAAATGGAAACTTTGTGACATTATAGTTATATGTTGATGCATGTTATCATCGCTGTGAGTTCCCATTTACATGCCATTCAAGAGATCAAAACCTATGTCGGTAACACCTTTCATATCAAAGACCTTGGTACACGTACTAAAATATTTTCTTGGTTTTGAACTAGCACCTAATAAAAAATTTCTGGAAGTTAGAATACTTACAACCACATGTCCTCATATTCCATTTGTTATATAACAATTAAGTCAATTCATTGATCATTCTACATTACATTAAAGGAGCTCCTAGTCATGCTTACTTTATCCAACTCACTCAAACTTTTAGTGATTCAGATTTACAAGCATTTTCCTACGAGGATCTCTTATTTCTTGGAAAGCAAAGAAACAAACTACAATTGCCTGATCGTTTTTAGAGGCAGAATATAGAGCTATGACTCAAACTATGTGTGAGCTATAATGGTTAAGTTCAAACTTAACTCTTCCATTATTGCAACTAGTTGTTCGATCTGTTCTGTGACAACAAATCACCTTTCGACATTACTCGAAATAATGTGTTATATGAGCGAACAAAACGTATTGATATTCACTATCATATAGCTTGTGAGTGTGTAAAGAATGAGTTTCTAAAATTGTTTTTGGTTCCATCAAAGGGTCAAGTGGCTAATGGTTTTGCTAAAACTCTTCATATACATGATTTCCATTTGTTCATCTCTAAGTTGGGTATTTTCAATCTTTATGGGCCGGCTTATGGGGAGTAACACAACATCTGGAACCTTCTGCCCATGCCACGCCATACTTAACCTCTATAAGTGGATTACAACTCACAAACAATAGGCACACCTCATATTCTTGATGGTACAATGGATTGCAACCATAGCCCAAGAATCATCTTAAAGATAAGCTCATCAACGGGATCAACCCATCAATCGGGATAAATAATAAATAATAAGCACTGGGCCTAATTCGGAATCCAACCCGCGAAAGGAACTCTGATCACCTCGAGCCTGATCAGAGTTCTAGCGAGGTCGGACTCTTCCTAGGGCTTAAGTAACAGGCTATCATTCGTGCATAGCTATCTGGTAGCGGCAGGAAATAACAGAAGGAACATGGACCTAAAGAAAACAATGATTGCACAACGTTTGAGACGTTACATGACTCTTATTATAATTGAATACATTAAATTTATCAGTTTTCTCCTAGAATACTAGAACCGAAGGCCCATAAATACTTCCTGTATACATCCTACCAAGGAT